AGAGGCCCCCCCCCCCCCGCGCCCCTGCTCTTCACAGTGAGTGCTGTACTGTAGCACTGCCACACATCGCGGACAAACATATGCTCTACGCTGTTGTACGGGTTTGATGGCACTCTCCGCCACCTCTCATGAGGAACGAGAGAATCGGGAGGATGCGACAGTCCAAAGGAAGAAGAAATGCTATTTACGAAAATGGACGACTTGAGTCGGAACTCGACCCAAAAGAAGGGATTGAGGCTCGAACCGATTTTGACGTTTCTTAACTGTAGGATCGAACGTCCTCCAAGCGAGAAATAACCTCGTCCTCGGTGAGGGACGAGGTTATGCTCGACTTTTTTTTGGCGGCATCAGATGGACCGCCGGTAGATGGGAGGAATCTATCCATATCAACACCCTGTTACAGCTGCAGCAGCAGACCGCTCGCTACTTCTGCTGTCTGTGCGTCGCTACTTCTGCACTCACTTTGGTGCGTGGTTCGTGCAAAGAGCGGCCCGCAGGCCCGCAGGACACAGAAAAGGGGGGTACACGGCAGAAAAAATGGGGTATCCCCATTATCATATATTCTGCCGGGCCCACTGGTGCTCAGCAAAACAAGCTTCCTTCAAGCGGGGATTTTCCTTAACGCGAGCGTCCTTAAAGCGGGGTCGACTGTATTTGCAGCTGGAAACGGCTCTACCCGAAGTGTCCACCTCGACCGTGTGGATGCGATTACCGCTGGCATCGACCGCGCACTAGAAGGCTGGCCAATGAAAAGACGTCAATCTTCAGTGCGGCTGAAATCGAAGAATGGCATCTGCTGTTAGACCCTGGGGTTACCCCCCTGCGGAGCAACAAAAAACGGCATGCTGCGAATAGATTTTGTTTTTTTTTTGTTTGAAGGGGGCACACAGACAGCAGTCCTACTTACTTGAGCAAAGACAAGGAACTGGCAATCAAAAATGTGCGAAGACGGCGAGGAGATGGCTATTCTCAATCTACAATCACCTGTAATCATGCTATAGCTAGAGAAGTAGCGAAGCCGATTTCCGTTTGGTGGTTGAAAAATCCCGAAACGACGGAAATTTCGGCTGTTGACGCAGCTGGCGCGAATACCGAGACGAGGGTCAAAAATCGCCTTCGCTACTTCTCTAGCTCTGGTTTCTGCGCACACAGCTAAAAAAACCGATCCCCGATTGACCTAGAAGCCGACGAGTGGCATTGATTACCAGATCACCTCCTATGGCTAAGGGCGGTGGTAAAAACAAGGGTCGCGTCAAGTCAAAAAAAAAAATCTTCAAAAACTTCACGACTTCTTTTCTCGAGAGAGAAGGATGCACGTTTGCGGACGCAGCGACGGCTGGGCGCGCACGCAAGGCTGCCGAGAAGGCCGACTACCCTACCCTGAAGCGTACGGCCGCTGCTACCCTCGAGAAACTCAAAAAAGCTCAGTTGGCGAAGCGTAGAGACTCTCGAGTCCGCAAATCGGCGGAGCAGGCCGCAGAGGAGGAGCGACAACTGTTGGCGCGAGAGCGAGTCCTGCGCGCCGATCTGAAGAAGGAGCTTGGGGAGGAGCAGCGACGTAGAATCGAGGCGGAGCAACGGGCGCAAGCAGCGATCGCACGCGAGCAGGCCTCGGAGCATCAGAGGCAGCAGCAGAGGGCTGCTGATGGAGAGGCGGTGGCGATCGTCCTGACCCAGCTGGGAAACTTGCGGTTGGAGAAAAAAATGCTTCAAGATCAACAGCGCGAGATGGTTGAGATTTTTTGTCCACAAGCGGCAAGCGTGATGGCGGTGCAGCAACAGCAGCACAACCGGAATCCGCTGCTTTCCGCGAAAGACCAGCTCATCCGCACCCGGATGGAGGTAGAGCAAGCGAGGAGGGAGCTGGAGGCGGCGTCGGCGTGGGGAAAGGTTGCCGAGACGAGAAATGCTAATTTGAACAAAAAGGTGCGTGCGCGCTTGTGTGTGTGTCTTTGCCCTCGTGTGTTTTTGGCTTTGCTGTTCCCTTCTAGTGCGACTACTTCATATGCCTCCGAGTCCTACAGGTTGATAGAACCAACATAAGCAGGACGATACCAAGAGAGGCAGGCGAAGCTGCATGCAGCTGCTATCATCGACAGACTTGGTGTTGAGAGCGAGAAAATACAGCAGGAGCAGCAGCAGCGCGCATTTTTTTTGTTTTCCCGCTCTCACAACCGCCCTGCTGTTTGCCCGTTGCCCTTTTTCTTTTTTTCGGCAACAGAACGGGCGGGTCCGCCGTCGAAGCGGGCGGGTCCGCCGTCGAACCGGTGGGGTCCGCCATCTATGACCGGTCGGGCTGTGGGGTACTGGCTTTTTGTGTGTGCCAGCAGCCTCAGTGAGCGCAGTGACGGGTGTCCACCTCGCGCATTGCTGCGTGAACGCGCTTGACCATATTTGTCCAGTCTGTTCGTGTGTGTTCGTGTGTCTTTTTATTTTGATTCAAATTCCGAACGTTTTTATTGGTCTAAGAAGGAAAAGCGCAGTCTTTTTGCCACGAAAAGTTCACCCGGTTTGGGACACATTTTCGGCCTCAAAATAGGGGTAACCCCAGGGTCTAGCCTGTGGTGACCCATGGTTTGGTGTGTGTGTGTTTCCCTTGAGTACCATCGACCGCGCTGTTTGACCGGCCACTGACAAGACACCGACCGCTCTTGGCGGCCCAACAAACTCGAGGAAACGCCCCCTTGTCCCGCGGAGCTCCCTTGGGGCGGGGGGGGGGGGGG